CAGAGGATGAGATGGCTGGAAGGCATCACTGACTCGATGGACATGAGTTTGAGTAAACTCCGGGAGTTGGTGATGGACAGGGAAGCCTGGTGTGCTGTGATTCATGGGGTCACAAAGAGTCAGACGCGACTGAGCAACTGAACTGAACTGGGACAGCATTAATGATATTAATTTATTGTTATTATTATCGGGACTCAATTTTAGAAATCTAACTCTGACACTCAGCTGACATCGGGGCTAAAAGGAGGATAGTGTTTTAGAAGGCCATAACCATCAAGAAGGTTGGCGCTTATTTCAACTTACTGTAGAGAGGTGCCAGGATGTTAAAGATGAAGAACTTAAGACCTTGCAATATGATCGTATTCAAATAACTCTAAAATCCAAGTGTGTGTGTGAGGGGAAGGGGTTGGGAATGATTAGCAATTCTAGCACTTGAATCACTGGAGAGGAGGAAAAGAAGCAAGGAATAAGTGCAGATGAAGGAGACAGTCATGCGGGACCTTGGTGTTCACTGTCTCCTGCCTTAGGAAATAGAGTCTTTTTTGTTTTGCAATTATTTTTTTTCTCTGTGCCAAATACACAGGCTTCTTATGATTTAGAAGTCATTACTGTAGTGTTGTGGATGTAAACAGTTTAATCAAAGGGGGAAGAATAAGGAAATATGCAAAGTACAATAAGTTTAGTATAAATTATACTTTTAAGAGCAGAAAGAGACCCATGTTCAGGTGAAACTTTTATAAAGTATTCCACACCAGTAATTTGAAGCTCTAATGAATATCAAAAACAGGAAGGTTCTAGAGTTTTTAAAAGAAACTTTGAATTTAGGGTACAGGTGTTTTCTAGGTCAAAAGAGTGAGGGACTGTCTTGCCTCCAGGGTTATTAAGGAGAATTTTAGGTCAGCTTGTAGAGGAATCCCCTGGACTCCTAACTTAAAAAGCAGGCGAATCCCCATGAACTTCTGGGACTGCGTCTTCTAAGTCAAATTTGTCTAAGAAAAACCTTGTATATTCATGGAAAATGTAGATTTCCAGTCCCACACCAAAAGATTAGGATCCAGTATCTCCAAACCCTAACACCATCATGGTCCAGTCTGGGGAAGGAAGAGAGGATACTGCGCCTGTAGATTTTAGCTTAGAAAAGTGAAAAAATGCAATAAAATGTCTAAAATATTTAAAGAGATGTGAATAAGATAAATGAAAGCTTATTAATTCCATTCCAAAGAATAGAATAAGAAACCTTATTTTGAATAGTTATCAATAACAACTGATATATGTATGTTTTTTAGTATGTACTTCCCTGGTGGCACAGATGGTAAAGAATCTCCCTGTGATGCTGGAGACCTGGGTTTGATCCCTTGGTCATGGGAGATCCCATGGAAAAAGGACTGGCTACCCACTACAGTGTTCTTGCCTGGAGAATTCTAAGGACAGAAGAGCCTGATGGGCTACAGTCCATGAGATCCCAGAGTCAGACACACCTGAGCGACTAACAGTTTCACTTGATTTCATATATTTATACTTACATACACATTTGCACATACCCATACACATATACACACACAAACCCACACACATATTTAATCCTTATGCTAATCTTAATGTTATTATTATATTTAGTTATCAGATGAAGATAGTGAAACTGAAAGAAGTCAGTTGCCTATGATCACATCTGATAGCATCAAAATTTTAACCCAGGAATGTGTGGTTAAAAATCCAGTGCTCAACATTGCTCAGCTAGGATTATTATCAATATGGTGTAGGGTAAATGTTATTGGACTTATTATGCACAGAGGATGTGCTGGCAGCAAAAAGGAAAAGATAGTAAAATGTGTGAATCACTTTATACGTAACAAACACTAAAAAAAAAATTTAAAAAATCAGACTGATGAAGGGTAATATTAGCAGTAATGTTTATCTTGGGATGGCTATTGGAATGAGATCATCACCTGGGAGACTAATATGCCCACTCATAGTGACAATTACTTTATTCCCACAATATGAAAAGTGGGGCTCTTTTTCATCTAGCCATCACAGTTGCTGTTTAGTCACTAAGTCATGTCTGACTCTTTTGCAATCCTGTCAGCTATATATAACCTGCCAGGCTCCTCTCTCCATGGAATTACCCAGGCAAGAATACTGGCGTGGATTACCATTTCCTTCTCTAGGGAATCCTCCCGACTCAGGGATCGAATCTGTGTCTCTTGCATGGCGGGTGGGTTCTATACCATTGAGCCACCAGGGAAGCCTGCCATTATAGTACTGATAAGGGTAAACTTGGTACCTCTAAGTTTATAAGCAACATTTCATCATCCATTTTAACCTACTTTAAACACCTTACCCTTAAAACACAAGTTGTAAAAAAAAAAAAAAAATTGAAAAGCAATTATATTTTGATTAATTTTATTGGTGAATTGTAATAATGAGATAATATCAGAACAAGAAATAATGCAGATGCATTAACTAATTATGACATCTAAGAGATTTTAATTTAGATTGAGATTGCTTTAGAATAATATTGTGGTAAATTTAAGTATGAAATATTTTTAAGTCACTGCAAATTTTTAGAGGTGCTTAGTATTCTATAGGTAGGTATTCTACTAAGAATATGTTCAGAAACAAGTTGAACTAAGGCATATTATAAGGTGATAAGCTAAAGAAAACATTTTCAGTGCCTATGACCTGTATTTCTCTTAAGAGATTTTCAAAGTAAACAAATATAGAATAATAATCGCCGAAAAATGTTTTTGGTAACATGTCTCTAACTGATGCACTTAATGTAAAGAACTTTGGGCTATTTTTAAAAAAATTCTAGCCCCCAAATAGAAATTATAAGAAATGTGTTTTGAATAAAAAGGCATGATTTTGTTAAAATAAGTTAAAGCATACAACTCAGGCAGTCGTGGTATGTTCTTCAAGATAGAATGCTAACTTTGTAAACCCCAGGTCTCATTAATATATTCTAGCCAATGTTTCTTCTGTACCAGTCTTGAATATCTTGCTTCTTCGGTTTTGCTAAAGGAAATTTCAGAGTTTAGATATATCAATAAAGGTAATTATATCAATGCTAATGATTTGGTCCTTTTAATAGTAGAATACATTTTGTCCCTCAAAAACAAATGCCCATCAATCTAAGGTTTTGGTTAAATCTGACTTCCAAATTTTTATATTATACTCTTTAAAAATGACTTAAAAACAGATTTGGTATTGTTTGCAACTATTTTACACAACTCTTACTTTATGACCCTGACTCTTGACATGCATTTCATTAAGCCATTGATGGCAGCAAAAAAGCTAATAAAACACAACCCATATTTTGTTTTCTGTGTTATTTTAATCAATACTCCCTCTGCTGGTTTAATAGGAAGAAATCCCCAAGGACAGTTCTCATTACCAAATATTTACAGAGTATTTTTTTGCTACTAGAGAAGCATTACAAAATAAAGTCAAAAGTCAAGGCAATTTAATTCATTACCTCTATTTGCACAGCTATTTCTTCTTAATTCACACTATTAATCTAAGTAGGAAAAATCTGTACCTAAGACATTTTTTTTTTCCTTTAGCTAAGATAATTTCATAAAAATATCATCTTTTGGTGGTAGCTTTTATTTTTCCACCCTTTTATTCTGAATTGCTTTATTATTTCCTATAAAAATTCAGAATTTCTCTCTCCTGTAAACCCAACAACAGAATATCAAATGCAGTCTGTCATTAAATGTGATGCAGATTTTTACCCATCTTGTTTGCTTCTCTTTCTCTGCAGGCATTCCATCTGCACTGTGTACATTGAAGTGCTTCCTCCAAATAATCAAAGCCCTCCTCGCTTCCCACAGCTGATGTATAGCCTTGAAATCAGTGAGGCCATGAGGATCGGTGCTGTTTTATTAAATCTACAGGTATGCTCCTTAGTTTACATATAAAATTCTAGCGACAACCTTGAAGGCTAATGGGTTCATATCCATGCAAGAGGGGAGAAAGCCTCACATGTCACTTACACTCTGATGAATGACAATTCCATCTGGAAAGGAAAGCAGGGATAATATGGATGGAGGGTTTCCACAGCGTATCTATTCTATTGATTGCCACTATTGAAACACCAACATTAGCTGGCAGGGATTAGCTGCAATCATTACAAGGGAGAATGAAAGGATTGGAAGCATGTACTTGAATATCTTGTAGTTTGCATCCAAAGAGTTTGCAGCTGACTCTTGTGTTCTGTCTTGGATTCCTATGCCCTGGCAGGATTTATTTTTGCTGCAGTGTTCAGTATAGAAAATGACTTTAGATTCACCAACTGATGATAGGCATTCTAATTCAGAGGCAGACAATTTTATTTTGTGGCCATGGGAAAACCTTGTAATTGCTGTGCCTCAGTTTATTTGTTTAGATGAAGGGGATAGATTTAAGTTATATTTCCATTCACAACTCTTGATACTTGGGCATATGAGTTACTTGCAGAGTGATAGCTTGATTTTCACAATTTATATATTCCTAGCTGAAGCATATTTGTCCAGAAAATGCTATATTTTCAACTGAACTTACAGTTTCAAGTTGGGCTACTTGTGGTGTTGATGATAACTGTCACTTGCTATAAAAATCATAAGTACATGACATTATTTTATCTATGGATGTTCAGAGGACAGAGAATTTATCATCTCCTGGTGTTATATGGGAATAGCAGGAGTTGATGACATGAGAATTCAGGAAGCTGGCCTTGAAGGTTAGGAGAGGTTTGTTGTTGTTGTTGTTGTTTTTCCAAATGTGATAATTTAGGAAAATCCCAGCATTGATCTTTGTCATCAAATGAGATGATATGAGGCATCTTGCAATCCTATTTGAATACAAACACCCTCTCTCTCGAACCCTGATGATATAAAAGTAAAGGTTCCATAAAATGTTTACACTAGAAGGAATGCTAAAAATAATGAAACATATCAACCTCATTATCTAAATGTGGGAAATGAATCTTATAGAAAGTAAATGGGGCCTAAATGAATTGATGAAATTATGAACATTTCCAAAACAAGGCTCATTCTGTTATATCCCACTCATTTTCTGAGGCTGCTAAAATTTTGGCTAGCATTACCAGATACTTCTTTTTACCTCTGCTCTTGTCTCTATTTTTGTTGCTTTTTCTCTAGGTAACTAGAGAGAATTTACTTTTGTTGTTCATTTATTATTAAAACATAGGGCAATAAAATTATATGAAAGTAGATATATTAGTAATACGGAAATCTGGGGGCTTTTAATGGATAAAATAGGCTTCCTTGGTGGTTCAAACAATAGAAAATCTGCCTGCAATGCAGGAGACCCGGATTCGATCCCTGGTCCTAGAAGATCCCCTGGAGAATGAAAAGTCTCTCCACTCCAGTATACTTGACTGAAGCCCTTGGACTGCAAGGAGATCAAACCAGTCAATCCTAAAGGATATCAACTCTGAATATTCATTGGAAGGACTGATGGTGAAGCTGAAGCTACAATACTTTGGCCACCTGATACAAAGAGCCAAGTCACTGAAAAAGACCTTGATGCTGGGAAAGATTGGGGGCAGGATGAGAAGCGGGCGACAGAGGATGAGATGGTTGTATGGCACACAGACTCAATGGACATGAGTTTGAGCACACTCTGGGAGATAATGAGGGACAAGGAAGCCTGGTGTGCTGTATAGTCCATGGGATCGAAAAGAGTCGGACATGACTGAGTAACTGAACAACAACAATGACAAAAGAAAAAAAAAATCCTGTAGTTTCTTTAGGAGAGATAAAACATTTAGGTGAGTCATGTAAATGATAAAATATGGAAAACCAAATATTAAATAGTTACATTTATAGAATAATGAAAAATTTTGTTTACCTATGATGGGAATTTATTTTGTTTAATCAAAAACTAAAGAAAAATAAATCTTAGATTTGTAAGTTCAGGCCAAGAAATTGTACATGTTTAACATTTAAATATTTCTTAAGAATGTGCCTTTGTATAATTTAACTTTCTGTAAGTTAGATATAATTTTACTTCTAAAATGGCTCCAATTTCATTTCAAATCCCAGAAATATCTGGGAACCATAGTACAGGAGAATAATTCTACCTGTGAGTTAAAGATGAAAAGGAGTTGGCCTTTTTCATATCTCAAATTTCTCTAGTACAAAAGCTGAGAAAATACTTGAAGTGACATTTCTATTCACCCTTTGTACTTCTGGTAGAAGTGAAAGAAAAGATGCCAATTGCAGTGGCAGTCTCTATTAGAAAGAACTAGGGTGACACCATCAAGGCATTTTTCATAAGCCACCAACCATACACTTTTGCTCATGATCAACTGAGACTGAATTTAAACTAGTGACCTAAAAGTTGAAAAGCTCTGTCAAATTACTCTCGCAAAGACTAATAAAAGAATGTATTAGAGGTACTTCTGGATACATTCTTGTCTTTTTCACACACAGCACTGCCCACTGCTGACTCACGGCTCAATTTAGAAAGGCAGGATTTATGGAGAAATATATTTTTCAAAGATAACAGAAGACTGACTTCAAAATAATCTGTTTTGACTGAGATCAAAGTGGTTTCTTTTCAGACAACAATATTTGTCTCTCTCCCCAGTCCCTTTCGTTTCCTCTTGTAAGTATTTTCCTTTTATTCTTCCTAAAAGTTGTTTGGGAGGCTGTGATTTTCCTCAAAATATAAGGATATTTTGCCTAGCTGCTGTTTTGATGGCATTTCGTGGCGGAAAATGTTACCGGGAGCTTTTATTTTTCAAACTTCTTGTGCTGATCAGCATTAGTATTAGGTGGGGCTTTTTCTTCCAGAATTGGCCAGATCTTGATCTAAAACATGTTCCTCCTTTGTAATTCTGAACTACCAGTGAAGCCTGTGAGATTGGTGTGCTGGTGCCAGAGCATACACTGGGATCCTAAAAGCAGGCTGTGTGCCTCTCTCCCCGATTTTGTGTTTGGTTATGTCAGATTGCTAGCTTGAAATGGGCTATGGTGGGTGTTTTTATGCCATCAAAACTAGCAAATGCAATGAATCAGTACCCTCCAATCCAGATCAGTTGTTCAACTTTTGCTTACACACCACTGGATTTGGAGCAAATTTCTCAAGATTCAGATCACTAAAATGTGTTGACTCTAGCAGCTTTCTGCATCTTTGTCCCTCTGAAATTTTGATCTACTTCCATCACTTTAAAGATGAGAGCCATGCCTCCAAATGTGACTCTCTATTATACTCAAATACAATAGGTCTCAGCTTTTTTTTATATACATATAAAAGCATTTTTTACTTTCAAATTACCCTTATAATTTATGGCTCACATTCTCATCGACTGTTTGACACATCCCTGTTACCACTAGTATAATCCTTTCTTACACATGGATTCTCCTTGTACCATTGCCATCATCCTCATACTCATATAATAATAATAGCTATATAACAACACTTATGTGGAACTTAGTGAGGCATGACTACTTCCAATAATAATGTACAGATGTGAGAACTGGACTATAAACAAGTCTGAGAACTGAAGAATTGATACCTTTGAATTATGGTGCTGGAGAAGATTCTTGAGAGTCACTTGGACTGCAAGGAGATCAGACCAGTCAATCCTAAAGGATATCAACCCTGGACATTCATTGGATGCTGAAGCTGAAACTCCAATACTTTGGCCAGCTGATGAGAAGAGCCAACTCATTCAAAAAGACCCTGATGCTGGGAAGGACTGCAGGCAGAAGAAGTAGGGGATGACAGAGGCTGAGATGACTGGATGGCATCACTGACTCAATGGACATGAATTTGAGCAAACTCTGCATTCAANTGAGAAGACTCTTGACTGCAAGGAGACCCAACCAGTCCATCCTAAAGGAGATCAGTCCTGGGTGTTCATTGGGAGGACTGATGCTGAAGCTGAAACTCCAGTACTTTGGCCACCTCATGTGAAGAGTTGACTCATTGGAAAAGACCCTGATGCTGGGAAGGATTGGGAGCAGGAGGAGAAGGAGATGACAGAGGATGAGATGGCTGGATGGCATCACCGACTCAATGGACATGAGTTTGGGTAGACTCCGGAAGGTCTGGCGTGCTGCAATTCATTGGGTTGCAAAGAGTCGGACACGACTGAGCAACTGCACTGAACTGAACTGAAAGTGATAAAGTATATTATTCTCAAGGCCTTGACATTGTTTCTAACATGTATTATTCAAGATGGAAAACCCAGTTCCTTTCATGCTTCTACAATAATCAAAATATCCATTATCAGCAGTAAGTTTACACCTGCCTATAGAGAACAAATGTTAGTTATGAACAAGTTTTGAATCAAATGATCCATTTACCTATTGTTGGTAAGGACATCCTTAAGGAAAGTTCAACTACCCTTTGCAAAATAGATAGCAAATGCATATATGGGAAACAGAGTAAAGATATAACCCTCTTTGCACAATATGTCTCTGTAAGGGTGAAGTTTTGAAATTAGAGGAAAATAAGTGCTGACAATTGTTCATTGATTTAAAATATCTTTATCCCTGTCATCTTTTTTTTTTTTTTTTGCTACTAATTCTCTTATTTACACATGGACTTACTTCTGAAAATGAATGGTGGTAGAAAAATAAGTGACTTAAAGTGATGCCAGTGTCAGTGCTGATTTTTTAAAAAATGAAGAACAGATATAATGGAGCACAGACTGACAAAATAGCCTCTGGGCAAAGTAGGCTATGTGGCTGGTAAACTGAAAATGGTTTTTATATTTTAAAAGTTTTTTTCAGAAAATATAAATGAAAATGAAATTAGAAAACAAACAAAAAATATACAAAGAATTCACATGTAGCCTTATGAATATTTTAATTACTTTTTAAGGGGGAAAAAGGGTTATGACCCTTATAATATACAATCGAGTACCATTTAAAAATGAATG